AGCTGTAGAGCGGGGGCATTCCTGTGAAGTAGGTCTTAACTTGACTCAGGTGGTGGCAGGGAAAGGACGAATGAGCCATTTCAGGGGCCAAGTGGCAAAAGGGAAATGGATGGACAATGCTGGGAGTTGCTTTTGGGCTGAGGAGAGTCCATGGGATTCCTACAAGCAGAAGTTCCTAAGATCTCCAGACATAATTCAAGCTTTCCTAGACATATCCTATGCTTCCCCAAACCATTCCTGTCCCCTCCTCCACCCAAGCTTCCTGTTTCTGAACATTCATACCTGTGGGGATGAGTCCATCACCAGAGCCCCCATAGCCACCAGACACAATGCTGGTTTCATTGAGGTTGGGTCCTGACACCATCACTTGCTGGAGGTCCTATAGGCCAGAGAAGAGGGGTTGCTTCAGGAACATAGGGACTGCAGAAGCATTTTGGAGGTGGGAACAAGTTTGGATTCAAGCATCATAAAAACACTACACAAGGGAAGTCTGCACAGAATCAAAATGATATGTAAAATTAAGGGAGTCAGATAAGTCAGGGGAAGGCTACTGGAATGGAGGGTGAGAACCCAGGATTTATAAATTGGATTCCTAAATTGAAACAATTAGAAGAATCAAACAGAAGCACCTGCTCCAGCCCATCATCTTCAGGAAGCTGCCTGGCTTCACCGTTCCCGTGGATAGGGATCTCCATTGTGGCTGCCTTCCCTAGGATCCCGTCCGTCATGGCTAGGAAAGGTATTGGAGTAAAACTCTCCACCCCAGCACCCTGCAAAGCCCAACACAGAAGTTCTGGGCACTGGCCAGCACTCTAGAAGAAGGAAGCCTCCTCTGTCATTTCTTTAAAGGCTGTCCCAGGGTTTGAGTGTCCCAGCGTTTGGTCATCATTCCTTTCTTCAGGTATATGTATTTCTCCCCTCCAAAATGCACATTTGTACACAGGCACACCAAAGCACGGTGTCTTCTCACAAGCCCCCAACCTCACCAGGCCTCTGGTGATTATTCTACACTCATTCAGTCATTCAGCAGACATTTAGTGAGTGCCTACTCTGTGTCAGGCACTATTTGTGACAATGAAAATACAACAGTGAAGAGGGAAAGTATGCTCTCTTAGAACTTATCTCCATGCAGGCGTGTTTATGCTGAGCAGGAGATGGACCCTTTCCAGGGCTCAGGTCTTCACCCCCCATTCAGGTTTGTTCTCCATTGCTTGGCCTTTCTCACTCCTTTAGTGTTTCTTCCCCCTTCCTTCAGGGGGTCTCCCCTCCTCCGTCTCATACAACTCCTCTTCCTCGGGCCCTCCCCACCAGGCCTTAGTTAGATCAGTTGGTGTATGTTCCCAGTCTCTGGCAAAAGCCTGTCTTTACCAGCATATCGGTGATCCCTTCCACAGTCAGTCTCCCAGGTATGTGAGTCCCCGCCCCCACCCCCATACACCTGGACATCAGGTGTGTCCTCATTCTTCCCCAGGGCTCGGGGCATCTTGCCCTCTGGATAGGTTTGTGCGTTCAACTTCCCGTCGCCCAAGCATGTCCCTCTCACCTCGGGCCGGGCCGCTCTTCCCCTCAGGGCGCCAGGCCCGGGCCGCGCGGGGACCTCGGGCTCCAGTTCCCGTCGCGATCCTAGCAGCAGGTCAGGGACTCGGCGGAAGTGACGTCCTCCCCGGGCAGAAGAAGCCGGCCACGTCGCAGATTATAAGGGCGGAAGTGACGTCGCAGCCGGGGCAAGGCGATACTCTAGCTTGGTTCTCGAGAGCAGCGAGAGGTTACTTTCGGGGCGGCACCGAGAAGCTGAAACGGAAGTGGCGTAGAGCATGCGCCGGTGGCGTGATGGAGCAGCAGCAGCAGCAACAGCAACTCAGAAACGTGAGTGAGAACTAAGTCGTTTCGGGGCCAGACGTTCAGCTCGCATTCCTGCACACATCGCGGAAATCCCATAGAGCCAGGGATCTGAGGGCTGGAAACTTCGGGTTATGGTGCGCGGGCCTGGGAAACTTTGGGCGGCGCGACCTTGAGTAGAAGTGTGGGGCACATATCGCTGAGTTCGTGGTCCCGGTTTTCTCCCAGCTGCGTGACTTCCTGTTGGTCTACAATCGGATGACAGAACTCTGCTTCCAGCGTTGTGTGCCCAGCTTGCACCACCGAGCTCTGGACGCTGAGGAGGTGGGGAACTGTGTAAGGAGGTTACGCTGCAAACAGAGTTTAGCGGTAGACTGCTTCCCTCCTCACCCCACTTCCCCTACCTCTGGTCCTGGCCTTCCCAGACCCTCACCCCTAGGCTGTGCATGGGGAAGGAAGGAGGCGGGCCCGACAGGACACCTTTGTCCTCCGCTTAAACCCTATCTTCCTTCTAGGAGGCCTGTCTGCACAGCTGTGCTGGGAAGCTGATCCATTCCAACCACCGCCTCATGGCCGCTTACGTGCAGCTCATGCCTGCCCTGGTACAGCGCCGCATCGCAGACTACGAGGCTGTCTCGGCTGTGCCAGGCGTTGCTGCTGAGCAGCCTGGGGTCTCTCCATCAGGCAGCTAGCCATCCCCAACCCCAGGAGGGAAGGCCCTGGATGGACCCTCAGATTGAAGGACCCAGTGGACCTTAGGGTTGGTGAATCCTAAACGGAGATAATTCGAGGTTGCCTGAAAACTGGCTGTCCTTGCTCCTTTTCCTGGAGCCAATATACTCGCTTTTTACTCTGTTTGATTTATATTCCGGGCAAGGAAGCTTTGCATACTTTATTGGCATAATCCTTTGTTCTGTCATTTAGCCATATCTGCTGGCTTCAGCCCTGGCAGCTGATAAGTTGTCTTCTATATGTAGAAGGAAAACCTGAGTATTTGCAGGCATCTGGTTAAAGCAGGGTCTGTGTGTACAATTTTAAAATGAGTAATATGTCAGGCTTTACCTTAGTTTACAACAAAACTACGAGTAAGTGGTATTAGCCTCACTAAATAGATGAGGAAGCAAGATTCCAGAATGTACCAGAAGGCCATTTGATACAACAGGAGAGTGGTTCCTGCCCATATGACAGAAAATGGGAGCTCTGTCTAGTTGTCCTTAAGTCTGACTGACTTCAATGGCTTATAACCGTGAACCAAGTATTTGTTGGTTCATAACTGTTGTTTTGTGAACTATGTCTTATATGTCTAGAATTCCGCTGGATCTAGGGAAAGGAGAAGCTGTCGAAGTACAACGGATCAAAAAACCACAGGGCTTTTGGGCACTGCCTCCTTGAGAAGTTAGTGGCCACAGAAGAGAGATGAAACCTGTAAGAAGTCTGGAGTCTTGGAACTTCAGCCATTTCCCCAGGTTGTTACTTTCTTAGTATGTACAGTCTTCTCAGGATGAGCAGTAAAACCTTTGAACCAAGGTCTGTGTGCTTGTCTTACGGGCAATCGGGAAGGGAGAAAGTTGGGGACCGTATTCTGCAATACAGCCAAATCTGAGGAAGAGAAACTGAAGGGAGAAGTAGATGGCAATGGTTATGATAAAAAGGATAAAACGAAATCTTCGGGACTTCCTTAATGCTACCTTAATGTTTCACTGCTTGTCTAGAATCTCCTAATTCCAGCTTTCCATCATCTGCCCCACATTGGTCTCATTGAGTACATTCTGTGATTTCTAATTCCAGCCTCTCCGTTCTTTTCTCATTATTGCCTCCCCCGCCCCCCAACTTTGTGTAATTTACTTCTGTATTCAGCAGCCTGAATAGCATATCATTCCATCACCCCATTTTCTTGCCACCCTTGGCCATCTTTTTGTATCATTCCACTTATTCTGTCTTTGCTATTTCTGCTAGAAAAAAACAGTTGTGTAATGAATGCCACTAAATATTCAAGGCCTCCAACCTCGACCTAGTCCTCACACCAGCACGCACCTTTATGGGTTCCTGGTCCATTTCCTTCTCTAATTACCATGGCAGTTATTTTACACCTTCACAGCTGTCTTTCATCCCATACCCCTCATCAGGTGACCCTGTTTCCTGTTTTAGAGGAATTGAAGCTCTTAGACATTGGTTTCCACAGTAGTAATTTTAAAACTTCTTACAACTACCCACAAAGCAGATGTTCTATCCTATCTACAGAGCAGAAAATTGAAATTCTCAAGTAGGGTATTAAAGTGCAAATCTGACTTTAAAGTCCATGTTCATTTTAACACACCAGGCTGCCTCTTAAGATAGTATTTATTGAGCACCCACTTTGTGTAGGTTCTGATTTTGGTAGATGTCATGCTTTATCTTAATCTTTACCACAACTATAAGTAAGAGGTATTAGCCTCACTTAACAGATCAGGAAGCAAGAATTCAGAATGTGCCAGAAGGCCCTTTTATACACAGTTTCTTTTTTTTTGAGACAGTCTTGCTCTGTTGCCTAGGCTGGAGTGCATTGGCGTGATCTAGGCTCACCACGACCTCTGCCACCCAGGTTCAAGCAATTCTCCTGCCTCAGCCTCCCAAGTAGCTGGGATTACAGGCATGCGCCACCACTAATTTTTTTGTATTTTTAGTAGAGATGGGGTTTCACTATATTGGTCAGGCTGGTCTTGAACTCCTGACCTTATGATCCGCCCACCTCAGCCTTCCAAAGTGCTGGGATTACAGGCATGAGCCACTGCTGCCGGCCTATACAAATTGTCTTATTGAGAAAAGTGGTTCCAATCATGTTTTTTGCCCCATTTAGCTGCCATCTCTTGAACAGAGATGTTAGGAAGGTAAAAGTTGCTGACCAGGACCTTACCCACTGAGTGGCATTCTGTCCTTGGGAAATATAAATGCAAGTAAAACAGGTTTGAACTTCTTAACTTCCAGAAGACAGGAGGATGGGACCTGTGATACTGTGCTGCTGGTGAGAGGACCCTTCCACATCAACATGTGTGTGTATCCTTGGAATCAACTTCCATTGTGAATTATCTGTGCTCTTGTCCTTCCATGTCACATAATAGTAATTGCTTAAAAAGAGCTAGGAGCATAGATCTGTCTGACTCTAAAGCCTTTGCTCTTTGAACTTTGAGAGCTTCTGTCTGTACTTAACCTGCCTCTAGGCATGAAAAAACAAGTGTCCCTCAGTCTGACCTCTCTCTTAATCCCTTTCTTAAAATGTCAATCTCTTGCCCTGGTTCTTTCCTGTTTCTAAAAATGTTTAATGTTCAGGAGAAAAACTTTATTCCTACCACTCTGCCTTCCATAACCTGGTCCTCAGGTCTTGCCATAAAGTGATAGCCATTGGCATAATGGGAGCAATGTGATATTGCAAGCACAGCACTAAAGAATAGATGTTGACAAGTTTTATCATATTATCATAAACATAAACATTGGAGATACTTTGGTGTTCTTGCCATTGTGACTTCAGAACTGCCCACTCCTTTGCAAAGCCTCATTCTTTTGAGGCTGTTCATCCATACAACCCTCTCATTACTTGTCTGCCACTCTCATTTAGTACTACTCTGCTGCTACTTTACTCTAAATAGCTAGCCCTTGGTCTTCCTATCCACTCCTTGATATTTTAACATTTACATAGACACTTTATTTGGTGTTTTGTCTCTTAGTTATTTGGCCCAATCTCTGATGATTTCCACTCTGTCTTGGCCACTCACTCCGTTTGTCATGTCTTGGCCATTATCATCACCACAAACTGCTCTATCTTCAAAATACTTGCACCTTATTTATTGACCATATTCCTTCCACTTGGTTTATTGAACTATTCCATCATTCTCTGATTTCACTGCAACCAATGCTTCTACTTTGCATTAGTACCTTCCTTCTTTAGATTGCTGTATAGCTTAAACTAGTGGTTTTCGTGCAATAGGTTGAATTTCCTTGCCTTTCATCTCTTTTTGAACCCTTAAATAAAGTGAAACTTATCTGTGCCTGCATTTGGACAGCTAAATGCCACCCAAGGAAACAACTGTGGAGAAATTTATATCACTATGAATCCATGGTTATCAGCTTCAAATGTAGTCTCAGCCCCATAGTCCTAGATTTTTCTAGTCATTTTAACTTTTCCCTGCAATAACTATCTCAAACCAACATTCTTAAATCTCTTGTCACTCCGCCGCACCATTATCTTCACTTTATGCAAGTAACTGTTTCTTACCTCATAGACAAAAGTAGAAGGTATCGGTAATTCTCTCAACATCCTCCAACTTACTTACCCACACATTTGCATCATTGTTTCTCTTGTCTAAACAAGGCAAGCATACCTCTGTCTAAGGCCAGTGCTTACTCCTGTTCTCAGAATCTTAGTCCTTCCCTCTTGGTGGATCTTTGACTTCCACTTTACTGAATTCTTCTCATCAGTGTTTAAACATGCTAAAGACTCCCCTGTTAATAAACCACTTCATATCTCATTTCCCCTCCAGTTATGCTTCCATCTTTTCTACTTTACAGTTAAACTTCTCAAAACAGATAGTTTGGGCCTCTCCATATTACGAGTCATTTTCCATTTGCATTCCTCAACCCAGTCCATTTTGACTTCTACAACCCTCATTCTATTGAAATGGTTCTTACCAAGGTCACCTTGGTGATCACCTTCCTATCGGTGAATCCAGTGGTTATTTCCCAGTCCTCACTACCTCACTTTTCAGTAGCATTTGGTATAATTTTCTAGTTTCTTATCATTGATACTCTTCCACTGGTGTCTTATTGTACTGTCATGGTTTTACTACTACCTCTTTGACCACAGCTGCCTAGCCTCTTTGCAGGCTCATCCTCCTGCCAGCCTTTAAATCTAAAAGTTTTTCTAGGTCCTGTTCTTCTCAGTCTAATTTTCCTAGAACAGTTTCTTCCCCACTCTGAACTTCAGTTACTAGTAACTTCCAGATCTCCTCCAAGCTGTTTGACATCTCCACTTAAGTATCTCAAAAACATCCCAAATTCAACATATTTCCTAATAAACTATCCTATGCCTGGTACTCATCCAGTTGGAGAAGATAGAAGGCATTTCCCTTTTTCTCCTATCACTCAATTGCCAAATCTTATGAGTTTACATTTCTAAATATCCCTGGATTCTCACTACCTCTCTCCACCCTCACCGTAATCTCCCACCAGGATTACTGCAGTTGCTGCGCTTCCGATACACACTTTGTATCCCTTCAATCTTTTCTTCACTCAAGCCATAAAATAAAAACTAATGCTTAATCTTTGTGATAGCTTCCCATTCTTAGGATAAAAACTGAGATTCTAAATATGACCTACAAAGGCCTGCATGATCCAGCCTCCGTCTACTTCCAGCTTTATCTTATCAGTAACAATGGACTGTCAATACTATTTGCTGAATTTATTTAAATCACACTTCACTCTTTCCTTCTGTGCTGTAGCCACACTGGCCTTCTTTCGCTTCCTCTAAATTGTCATATGCTGTTTCATCTCAAGGCCTTTGTATGTGCTGTTTCCTGGCTTACAATGCCTTCTGCCTTTATCTACTCATTCTTGAGATCCTAGTTACTATTTCCTCAGATAACTCTTCCCCAGACTCCAGCTCCCATAATTCCTCATGCTTTTGGTATATCACACTTTTTTCAATATATTTTTCAAATTTTACTTTGAATGATGTTAATTACAGCATTTGAAGGGGAGGATCTAAATTCACACAAAATGGAAGACTCTAAAATACACCCATTAAACTGCTAAAAAATAAATTGAGTGGTGAGAATACAACAGAAGTCCAATTTAGATTCTGAGTGTTATCACCATGTGATTCTTCCAAGCTTATATCTGGAACTCGTGGAAGCTATTTCATATTCTGGTGGAAGGGCACAAAACCACGGCATGAGAAGGAATTAAGTCCTGAATTATTGGCTTCATCACATCTACCCTCTTTACCCCAGAATGGCACAAAACAAACAGTTACCACACCCTGCAGACATTTTGGTGTAAAAGAGGTGATGATTAACTGGGGTGGAAAGATCACGAAGATCTGTCTAAAAGAGTCTCTTTCAAGTGAGTTTGCACACACCATCAAGCAACAAGCCTATCATTAATTAGGGTTAGGAAACCAAGGTTCAATTCTCAGGAAGTCACAATTTCATTCATTTACTCAATATGAATTTACAAAATGCCTACATATTACCAACTTCCACGTACAGTCATTTCTAGATAAAAAAGAAAACTGGCTTCTGAGGAGGGGCCACCAAGTTGCCTCTCCAAGTCTATAGCTGAAAGGACGTTTTTTGGAATTGGGTTTCTTCTCTATCTCTGAAAGGGTAACATTTTAAAACTGAATTATCTTTAGCCTGGAAATCTAACATACTTAGCCTGGAAGTCTAACATTTAGCAATGCTTGCATCCCAAGCATACAGTAAAAGATACACTAAATTCTAAAGGTAGCTCTGCTGCAAAATAATGTAAAAATAAATAATTGTACAGTATTTATGCTCGAAATTTCAGTTCCAGACCTAGTGTGTAACCACCGGCATTGTTATTCTTGCCATTCAGGACAGCTGACAGTGTCATTTTGATACCTAGCTTTAGGGTCTCAGTGTATTCTAAACCTATTAGGCGAGAGTTGTTCACTTAGCCAAGAAGGAGGTGTCAGAGTTGATCAGATACTTGGGTATTCCAAAGTGAGTGTATTAGTCCGTTTTCACACTGCTGGTAAAGATATACCTGAGAATGGGTATTTTATAAAGAAAAAGATTTAATGGGCTCACAGTTCCACGTGGCTGGAGAGGCCTCACCATTGTGGTGGAAGGTGAAAGTCACATCTTACATGGTGGTAGGCAGGAGAGAAAATGAGAGCCAAGTGAGAGGAGTTTCCCCTTATAAAACCATCAGATCTCGTGAGACATTCACTACCATGAGAACGGTATGGGGAAACTGCCCCCATGATTCAGTTATCTCCCACCAGGTCCCTCCCACAACACATGGGAATTATGGGAACCATAATTCAAGATTAGATTTGGGTGGGGACACAGACAAACTGTATCAGTGTTACTGTTTCCTGCTGTCCAGGTAAAATTGACAGTGATCTCCAACTTGTTATTTACCTTCTGGTAAATGGAGCCACCAAACTGTCCCATTTTCACATTAGTGTGAAGTTGGAGTTCATCAGACTTGTAGCCAACCGCAAAGTTGCTCTGGGTCACTCAGGATTTTGCAGCCTCAAAATTTATCTGGTAGCTAGCCAGCCACCCTTGTAACCCAGCACCAGAGCGCCCCAGATTGAAGGCCGAGCGATGTCAAAATCCAGGTTACAGTCCAGGTTGATGTGCTCCTGCTTGTACCTGGTGTTGATGTTAGCATTTTCCCCCAGTGTTAGGTGACAAGGATGAATCGAGGGTCAGCTTCAGTCCACTTGCAAGATGATCTTCCACAGTAATCTCAGTCCTAGTGTTGTGTGTTTCACTTCATAAACATCAGGCCATATTCAGTCCATCTGTACTTGGTCTCCAGACTGCCTTGGTGAATTTCAGTGTTGGTTGAGCCTAAGCTTACAAATTCCAATGCATTCTCAGATTTTGTTTTCAAATCAAGTTTTATTAGGCCATATCCATAGCCCTTAGTGAAGACATTCCTGGCAGATTTGCCAAGATTGGCATACTTGGGTGGCACAGTCATCTTCTGCTCAGAGGTGGTGGTGGCAGGCTTGGCGGCAGCTATGACAGGGGCTTCATCGGGGAGGCATGGAGCAAAGCAAGCAGCCGGTGTGTAGTGCTTTTAATGGTGTTTCATTATATACCTCATAAAGTCAGAGTCCATGACTGTATTGCTCACCATTGTATCCTTATCACAGTGCTTGGCATATAATGTGTGCTCAACAAATATTTGTTGAACATCTTTGAATCTCCTCCCAGCTCAATTTACTATTAATATAACTAAGAGAAAGGCTTTTTATCAGAAGAGACAGAAGTGAACCTGCACATCTAACCTTTGATGTTATGTCAATGATTTAAAGATGTTTTACACCCAAAATCTCGGTAGGTGGTATCTTCTACACTTAATAAAGTCAGAGATCAGTCAACATCTAAAAGACCCCATCTGGAGCAAATCACTCTGCCATTCTAGTTTCCATAGTTTCCATCTAATTTCTAAGTCCTATAGTTCTGCTTAAATATCTCTTGAACCCTTTTCCTTCTCTCCATCTTCATTGTTATTACCTTAACCAAAGTTTTATCAGCTCTTCTTTTTTTTTTTTTTTAGGTGGAGTCTCGCTCTGCCCAGGCTAGTGTGCAATGATGCTATCTTAGCTCACTGCAACCTCTGCCTCGCCTTGCAAGTCTCCTGCCTCAGCCTCCCAAGCAGCTGGGATTACAGGTGCCCATCATCACACCCAGCTACTTTTTGTATTTTTAGTAGAGATGGGGTTTCACCATGTTAGTCAGGCTGGTCTCAAACTCCTGACAGGTTATCCACCTGCCTCGGCTTCCCAAAGTGCTGGGATTATAGGTGTGAGCCACTGCACCTGGCCCCTTAAAATTTTAGCAGCTCTTACACAGATTACAGCAGCAGTCTCCTAACAGCTTTTGTTGTTGTTACACTTTAACATTTTTTTAATTTAATTTTTAAAAAAGGAGTCCCTCCAGCTCCAGCACAGAGATACAGGCTCAACAGAGTGCTTCCTAATAGCTTTTTGTCTTGAGTCTGGACCCCTTTTGATTAGTTAGGAACATGTAGTTACATGTAGCTTAGTTACATGTAATAGAGATTGTTTTTCCTTTTCTGGGTATGCCCCACATTCATCATATATTCACATATTCCACAGATATTTGAGTGACTGGTTTTAGCAGTTTTAGCATAAGCCCTGCAGATACAGAGCTGAACAAGAACATTCAATCCGTGTTCTCTTGGAACTTAACGTAGTTATGTGAAGGTTAATATAGGACCAGTAATCACAACTGTGATGAATGTTATAAAGAAGAAATGTATCTTGTAATGGAAACATACAGTAGTGCAAACTTTTTCTGTTTGAGGGATGAAGGAGAGCTTCACTGGAAGTGATTTTGAAGCTGAAACTCAAAGGATGAATTAAAATTAACCAGACAGGCCTGTCATGGTGACTCACACCTATAATCCCAGCACTTTGGGAGGCCAAGGCGGGAGGATTGCTTGAGCCCAGCAGTTTGAGAGCAGCCTGGGGAACATAGTGAGACCCCATATCTACAAAAAAAAAAAAAAAAAAATTACAAAACCCAAAATATACTGGGCATGGTGGCACATGCCTCTAGTCCCAGCTACTTAGGAGACTGAGGTGTGAGGATTGCTTGACCTCGGGAGATTTGAGGCTACAGTGAGCCGTGGTCACCTCACTGCCCTCCAGCCTGGGTGGCAGAGCAAGACCCTGTCTCAAAATAATAAAACAAACCAGACAAAAGACAGGGAGAAGGTCTGTCTTCCTTTCCTTCAAGTCTTTGCTCAGATGTCACCTTTTTATTAAGGCTTACTCTGATTATCCTATTTAAATGGTAGCCCATACTCCCCTTAGACATTCCTGATTCCCTTTGCTTTGTTTTTTTCCATAGCACATATCACTTCTCACATGCTATGTAAGTTTATTCATTTTATTCTTTTTTTTTTGAAATGAAGTCTCGCTCTGTTGCCCAGACTGGAGTACAGTGGCTTGATCTCGGCTCACTACAACCTCCATCTCCCAGGTTCAAGCGATTCTCCTGCCTTAGCCTCCCAAGTAGCTGGGACTACAGGCACCCATCACCACACCCAGCTAGTTTTTTGTATTTTTAGCAGAGATGAGGTTTCACCATGTTAGCCAGAATGGTCTCAATCTCCTGACCTTGTGATCTGCCTGCCTCAGCCTTCCAAAGTGTCATTTTATTCTTTATTATCTGTCCCTCCCACTGGAATGTAAGCTCTGTAACTCAGGAATTTTTGTCACTGTTTCTGTTTTGTACACTGATATAACTGAACATTGTTTTGTACACTGATATAACCAAACACTGAAAACAGTGCCTGATGCAGTTGATACTTAGTAAATATTTGTTGAGTGAAAGGAAGCAAGAAAGAATAGTCCCAGAACAAATGTATAGAACTTGCCTTTAGAGAGAAAAAGAGCATCTCTAATTGGTAACAGGAAGGAGGGAGGAATGGATAAGAGCAGATCTAAATGTTTTTAAAATTTGGCATTTGGAGATTGCGAGAATTCCTTTTATTTTATTTTATTTATTTTATTTAATCTTATTATTTTATTTTATTTTATTTTATTTTATTTTATTTTATTTTATTTTGAGACAGAATCTCACTCTGTCGCCCAGGCTGGAGCGCAGTGGCGCCATCTCTGCTCACTGCAAGCTCCGCCTCCCAGGTTCACACCATTCTCCTGCCTCAGCCTCCTGAGTAGCTAGAACTACAGGCACCGGCCACCATGCCCGGCTAATTTTTTGTATTTTTAGTAGAAATGGGGTTTCACTGTGTTAGCCAGGATGGTCTCGATCTCCTGACCTCATGATCCGCCTGCCTCGGCCTCCCAAAGTGCTGGGATTACAGGTGTGAGCCACCACACCCGGCCCTGAGAATTCCTTTTAAATAGCATGTGATGGTTAGTTTTGTGTGTCAACTTGGCTAGGCTATAGTACCCAGTTATTTAATCAAACACTAATTTGGGTGTTACTGTGAAGGCATTTTTATAGGTATGGCTAACATCTACACTTAGTTGACTTTAAATAAAGGAGATTACTCTTGATAATGTGGGTCAGTTGAAAGCCTTCAGAGTAAAACTGAGGTTTCCCAGAGAAGAAGAAATTCTGCCTCAAGACTCCAGCATCAGGCCAGGTGCAGTGGTTCACACTTGTAATCCGAATGCTTTGGGAGGCCAAGATGGAAAGATTGCTTGAGTTCAGGAATTCAAGGTTTCACTGAGCTATGATCTGCACTCCGGCCTGGGCAACAGAGTGAGGTTTTGTCTCTAAAAAAGTAAAAATTTAAAAAATTAAGAGGAAAAAATAAGGCTGCATCATTAACTTCTGCATGAGTTTCTATCATGCCAGCCTGCCCTACAGATTTTGGACACTTACCAGCCCCCACACATGTGTTAGCCAATTTCTTAAAACATATCTCTTTATATGAATGCATATTATTGATTCTGCTTCTCTGGAGAATGCTGATTGATAATACAGCATCTCCTTTTTTCAAATAGAAGATAAAGTCATCATCTGAGAATAAAGCAGAAGGAAATGGAAGATGAGAGAGTACAAGAGGTTTGAAATATTCATTGCCCAGAATGGAGGAGTGAACTGACAAAAGAAACAGTTTTAGGCAGTGTTGAGGGTTCAGCAGAGCTTACTGAACAGAAATCCTTTCTGTCTTTGTCTGAAGAGCTTTGATTTTGTTTTGTTGTTGTTGTTTTTGTTTTTTGAGACAGGGTCTTGCCCTGTCGCTCAGGCTGGAGTGCAGTGGTGTGATCACGGCTCACTGCAGCTTTAACCTCCTGGGCTTAAGTGATCCTTCTACCTCAGTCTCCCAAAGTTTTGGGATTACAGGAATGAGCCACTGCACCCACCTTTTTCTTGTTTCAGGCCTATTGTGACTCAGGTACTCCTCCTTGCCCTTTTATGAAAGAGTTGTCCATGCTCTTTATTCATGCCCTCACTGAATCCTTTGTCTTGTTCACGGTTATGTCAAAATGAATAACAATCAAACACTTAACAATTATATCAAATGTCAACTACTTACCAGGCTCTATTCTAAAGCATTTTGTGTGCATTAATTCACTTAATCCTCACAACAATACTATAAGGTAGACATTATTATCTTCATTTTCAAAAAGTGAAACTGAGGTAAAATATCCCATGACTAGTAAGTGATGAAGTTAGGATTTCAATCCAGGCAGTCTGATTCCAGAGCCTATCTTCTTACTCACAAATGAAGATTGTTATACATTCATGTATTTTTTTCCACGAATATTTTCTGATCACGTACTCATGGTGCCTAGTATAGGAGCTGGGGATAGAGTAGGCAGCAATCAGAATCTCTGCTACCATGGAGCTTATGTTTCTAGTTAGGGGAAATAGGAAATAAATAAGTGTTTATATGAAATGGTAATAAGTGCTATGGAGAGAAGTAATGCAGATAAAGAGGATAAGAATGTTGGGGAGAGAGTTGCTATTTTCTGTTGGGCAGTTAGGGAAGAACTCACTAATAAGGTGACATTTGAGCAGAGAATTAAAATGAAAGAGTAAGCCTTGAGAGCATCTTGAAGAAGTGTTCACTCTTCTACTGTTCAACTAGTTGTGTAAGCCACTAGGGGTCCCCTAGTATCCACTGTCTCCCTCTTTCTTTACGAAAAGAACCTCTAAATTTTCTTTTGGCATATGACCACTGAAAATAAAGATTAGATTTTGTAGCTTTCCTTACAGCTAGGTTTGGTCATGTGATTGATGTATGCAGTTGCCAGGCTGTGCCCTTAAAAGAAAGGGTATGCCTTCTCCTTTCCTTTTCTCTCCATCTCACTAGTTGGGATGGGACCCGGCACATGGTGGTAAATTACTTTGGACCTTAAAGATGAGAACTACTTCCTTCGAGAAGGCAGAACAACTAAAGGCTACCATGTTAGCCTCAGAGTATTTATATTTGGATGGTTATATGAGAGAAAAAACCTATCATGTTTAAGCCATGATATTTTGGGTCTTTTTATTACAGCATTTGTGTGGTAGGTAGAAGTTTTAGATCGGTGTCCCCAACCCCCAGGCCACAGACTGGTACCAGTCATGGCCTGTTTGGAACCAGGCTACATAGCAGGAGGTGAGTGGTGGGTGAGCAAATGAAGCTTCATCTGTATTTACAGCCACTCTCCATCACTCACATTATTACCTGAGCTCTGCCTCTTGTCCGATCAGTGGTGGCATTAGATTCTCATAGGAGCATGAACCCTATTGTGAATGGCACATGCTAGGTGGCATGCTCCTTATGAGAATCTAATGCCTGATGATCTGTCACTGTCTCCCATCACCCCCAGATGGGATTATCTAGTTGCAGGAAAACAAGCTCAGGGCTCCCAGTGATTCTATATTATGGTGAGTTGTATAATTATTATATATTACAATGCAATAATAAAATAAGTAAAGCTCACAATAAATGTAATGCATTTGAATCATCCCAAAACCATTAACCCCTCCCCTGGTCCGTGGAAAAATTGTCTTCCACTACACTGGTCCATGGTGCCAAAAAGGTTGGGGACCACTGTCTCTGAGATTTCCTGCTCTCTAGTATATATCTCCCTAGTATATCCTGCATATTCCA